GACCATTGAGTTGGCATTAGGGAAAATATTTTCTCTACATTTGCATTGTGGGCTGGAATAGCAAATACGTATTTGCAAAGCTTTATTAGACATGACTTCTGATCAATGCTTTGTATCTGCAAAAACTTCAGCCATTTTTCTTCCATACTCAATTTCATAGTTGCTTTGCAGTTTTGGTTGGTATTATTTTTCTCTAAAAAATCTTTTAGGTATACAAACTGGTTGAATAGAATCTGTTGCCAATATTGATGTTTCTTACTTGTAAATATACAATAGTATGTTCTATTTCTTCCCATTCAGGAACTTGATTGAGAAAATGAGACAAGTAGTAATACAGGACTGAGTAGTGAAATATGGTGACAGTCCCGTATATATGGGACATATGGAAACCCTATAGATAGATGAAAGTCAAGATCAGATATGGAAAACTTAGGGGCAGTTAACTATATATGAACTTCCAGTTTGCACCAGAAGTCATGTTATTTCAATTTAAAAATTTTCTCCTGAACGGAGTTGAATACATGACTTAATTGTTAACAGGAAAAGTATGATGTACAGGGGCAAGACATTACTGAACTTAAATGCATTGGGATGATGTCACAATAAATAATTCCTCATTTTATATCTATTTTTAGAAAAACTCTCACTACATATTATATTACTGATTTACATGTGTATTACAGTATTTCCATTCTTAAGCTATATCATTATACCAATATTTAATTACATTAATTTTTTTTATAAATAGTCTTAAAAACAGCATCATGTTCTTTAATATTTGAATCTATCAAGATCATGGATACTATGAGGGGAGGCAAAGAGGAAATATACTTGCACTTGCAGCTCAAATAAAAAATTGTGAAATTGGAAAAGAGAGAAAAAATAATAGAATACAGTAGAGCGTCATTTATCCGAATCAATTGGGGACTGGGGTTGTTCAGATAATCGAATATGTACGAAAAAATATATTAACGTATCCCATGTTGAAATTTTTCGCCGTTGCATGTCACTTTGCGTTGAATTTTCATCGATATTAAGCCTAACGAAAATTTCTATAACAATAATCGTGGCTATTGTAGCGTTAAAAATTATTTCATTATTTTGTACAAACAAAATAAATATATTGAAAAATATAAAAACAAAAAAAATTATAATTTAGAAGTCAATCTAGTATCAGAAACGTTCAATTCAGGACAGTGTTCAGTAATGCAGAATTCTTGCTAAGTCTACTTATGCTGCAATGTTGAACTCATTTCTAACTACTGCTTGACTCCTCCCACCACTAGCTTCTTTTATGTATTCTTAGCTCCGCCCACTAAGCCACTCAGAATTCTAACTTAGGTGTTCTGCGTTACTGAACACGGCCCAGCACAACACACAGTCCTCACAAAAACACCACACAAAAGTGCCAGTACTGCCAGCTAAAATACATACACCAACAAAAAAAAATATTGGAGTAGCCCAAGACATAGCCAAAGGTTGCAGTGCCACAGCATTAGTGGAAATTTAAATTTGCCGATTGGAATGCTTTTAGTTAACTGACTTTCGGATAAACGACATTCTACTATATATGTGTGTGTGTATATATATACATATATGCCAACCATTTGCATTTTGGGCAAATCATTCAACTTTCCTTCCTCTGTTTGCCCTCATTACTTTCAAGTGTTTTTAATAATTTTCATGACTGTTCTTCCATTTATTATTCATATGTTTTAAGTAAGAACTACTTCCTGTTGGACTTAAAAACTATGCTATTATTTGGTCAGTGGTATCAGCAGACAGGATCATTTCTTGACAGAAGGGCAGTGTAATGTTTGATAACACTGATATCAAGATTTAATACCAAAATTTATGAAGTTAATTCAACATCCCAATGCTAATGAACTTTAAAATTTAAAATTTCGATTATAAATAAAATTCATTAAGTTTGATTCTAGTATTAACAGTTAAATGATTTTTAACAATATTCCTTGGATTCCCACCCATTTAAAGTTTGGAAATTGAAATTATGCTTTTGATTAGCTAACAAATTTCAATTGTAAACAAATTTAAATTTGAAACTTACTCCTTCTCATAATTTTAAATTTCTTGCTGTGATTGGTTAGAAAAAAAATCTGTTGACTAACACTGATTTTAAAAACAGTATAAATAGACAGTATTCATTTGGTATCCTTTCTTTTCCATTGGTTGAAATGCATTCAGAATGCATTTTATTTTATCTAGAATAAGGTAACTTTCACATGTCAGTCCTTTTAGTTCACCTTGTCAGCCCATTTGCTTCTCTCAAGTTGGCTACTATGATAATATAATGGGAATTTTATTTTATTCATAAATGCACAAATCAATCTTTGTTGACTCATTAATGCATCAATGCATGTTTCATTAATTTTGTGTAAGTAATATAGCTGTAATTAATTTCAATCACTTTGTTCAATAATTCATTGTGTTGATGTATCCCTGAAATAAATTCTATCATTGCTATTGTATTGAATTATTACTAAATACATTTCAAATTGTTTATTATATATTTATTCCTATGGCTGTCATGTAAAAACACTGATATCTAAAAAATTTTCTTAAACTTATCACCTTTAATAATGTTTTTAATTTTTTTATGAAGTGTATTTACCATCTACACTGAATTAAATATTCAGTATAGCTTTCTTTATTTTTATTTATTTCACTTATTTCAATATTCAGATATATATTACTTTTATTTTTATTATAATAAAACATATGTGGTATAAGCATAATCTTAATCTTATATATATAATTTAATTTATTGTTGCATATCAGCTGATATTTTTTATTTATTAAATTTGTTTTCAGTTGATGGATATCTTCATAAAATTTTTAAAATTTATTTTAATGTATTTCCATGTTGGATGCTTTGTTACATAGAAAACATTCAATCAAAACTCCGAATATAATCATATTCGGAGTTTATGATTCAACATACCACTATTCATTATTATGATGAAATTACTGACCTGTGTCTTCAGATATTTAATTTCTGTAATTCTGATAACATGAATTTTATCTTTGATGTAATTCTATAGAGAGAAATTAAAGATGTAATATCAGGCTATGTTTTAACCAGTTTTTACAAAATACTCATTTAAAAAGCTTTGTATGAACTTACTTTTTAAATGAAAAATATTTATTAAGATCAATAATCCTTTTTAACTATTGCATGTAATACACAGAACAAATTTGTTTTTGCATTTAATGTAACTTCTAAAGACAAATAAAAAAAAACTTAATTAAAACTTACACTCTAAATTAACTAGCTTTCACTCTTTGTTGAAGTCTACTTAAGGGCTTATCAATTCATCGTGAATTATAATTCAGTTAATATATCTGAAAAATTCAAATGAATTGGAGATATTTTGAAACCTAACAAACTACTATACTTATTTGAATAGCTTTGTAACTCTTCTTTAGAAAAGAAAAAAACAGCAATGATAAACTTTATGAACTTTAACTACATTATAAGGTCACTTTTTGTGTTTTTTGATGTTAAACATAATGATACAAATCATTTTGAAACCTCTGAAAACAGAGTTCTGTACTGGTATATCTACTGTTATCTTACTGTTGGAAAAACTTTCTCTTACAAACAGAACATAGTATAGAATATATACCAAAATTGCTTAGTTCAGGAACCAAATATTAGTAAAAATGTTTTTGACCTCTTTACAGATCATCAGTAGTTTTCATAACTATGTTTGTGTGTACTTATATAAATGGTGCCAGTGTTGTCTGAATTAGTTAAAGCATGGTATATCTGTATTATTAATTTATAAAATTTGTAACAGTTACCTAAAGTAGATTAAACGTTTGCTAATCTGTCCACAGTAATCTTTATTGTCTGGTAATCCAAAATTTTCTGGGTACTGATGGGTTAAGAGGACGTCAATCAGAAATAGCATTTTTTCCGAATAATGCAATTTTTTATTTGTCAAATTTAATACAATTGTTAAATTAAACAATAAATTACAATTTATAAAGATATAACAAAATCTCACTAATTCTAATAATAAACCACTTGAATATGCAAATTGTTTTGTAGTGTATACAGNACATGTACTCCAATCCAATGGTGGAGGTCCCTGCAAGTGTGTACGTATGCACACCTTAAGTCTGTCAATCCATGCATCCGTTCTTTCTGATAATCTTATTAAAATAACTTTAGGCCTGGCCATTAATAAAGTGATTCAGCATGTTGTTTTAACACGTTGAATCCAGTTTGGAAAAAATCTTACCACAGACCCCTGGTTAAGAACCCTTGCTCTAAATATTTTAAATTTGAGTGAATATCTATTGTCTTCAGGCTTTTATAATGAATATGGGATAATTCCTGTTAAAAACATTAGGTATGGTATGGACTTCCTCTGACATTTTCCATAAGTGTTTTATTTTTGAGTGTATTCATTATATTTACTTATTTTTTCTGTATAGTCATTTTGTAGATTGTGTATTTGATATAGCAATGTCAATGATATAAGTTATTTTGTGCATTTTTTCAATAAGGATTATTATTGGGCTGCAATTTGAAAAAATTGTAGACCTATAAATTCCCACTGTTGTCCATCTGTCTGTCTTTCCTTAATCTTGAGAACAGAGTTAGATACATGAAAGGTGAAGCCATATATGGAAACTTTAGGAGCAGGAGGCCCTGATTAACTATATACAAACTTCTATTGCAAATTGGAAGTCACATTATTTCAATTCAAAAATTTTTCCCTGAAAGATGTTAGATAGATGTTCAGTACAGCTCTATTGCTAAAGGAAAAGTATTGTAACAATGTGCAAAATGCCCCTATGCTTCCACACCGTGGGACTGAAGGGTTGGCACCACTTTGTTGATGTCATGTCAGGATTCTGACACCACTATGTCTTTAAGGACAGACACAGAAACCTTGATAGCCACTAATTTTGTTTTTGTGCAAGTAGTTGCATTTTTAGGCAGTCAGATTTGGGATAAAGACATATAGACATATATATNGTTTGGAGTTATGAAGAAAATCAATTAGCTTTAATATTTAGAAATCCAGCATTTGAACAAAGTGGAAGATACAAATGTATAGCTCTTTATTCTAATACTGATAGATATAATGCCAGTGTTGATATTATTTTCTATAGTAAGTATATATTAAATTACATAATTTTTTCTATATATAGCCTATATGAATAGTTATAAAAATTTATTTAAATAAAAATTAATTAATATTTCTAATTTTTATACATAAAGAAACAATGACTATATTAATTAATTAATGTCATATAACCAATAGTAAACTGTTATCAGGGAATCTATAATTATTTTTATCTAAAATATTTTTGGAACTTAACATCCCATCTTTGATTAATATATAAATTTAAATCTGTTCTGAGTTCTAAGGAATGTTATATTCTATTATTAAAGTACCAAAGTTGAAAACAGATGTTCCATTTATGTTCAATCTATCTTAAATTTTATTTTAAATCAAGTCTTTTTGTGTGTTAAAGTTTATTTTATATACCTTATCTGAACATGTTTGAAAAATAAAAAGATTGATTTTCCCTTCTCAAAAATAAAGTACATGTAATTTATTGATTATTTGATATCATAAGTTTCAAGTTTAGATTTTCAGATAATAAATTTGTGGTGAAAAACAATTCAAAATATATATCAACAATAAAATAAATAAATGAATTTTATTTTTTATTTAAAAAGTGATTGATTCTTTATACAAATGATAATTCCATTATGTAATTTGATCCTGTCTATATAAATCAGTTATAAACTAACCAATCTGTCCTAAATTCTTCCAACTAAGGACAAGTATTTTTTTATTAATTTTTCTTTAACGTCATATCATATATATATAGTATACTGTAAATACAAAGTGCATACACAACAATTTCTGTTCCCCTTACCAAATTCACAATTTTTTTTATGTAGCAATATACTAATAATAATATAATTTAAATTTATATAATAATACATATATTATGCATTTAAATAATAATAATAAAATTATATTTACAATTTACAGGAACATTACAGTTGAATAGAAACACATACATCACATTACAGAAGGCCACTATATTGAATACATGTCATATTGTTAGGAAATTTCTGAATACAGACACACATACTGACACATTTATTTAATTTGTCTTGTTTTGGTTGCTATGCCTTGACTCTGGTCTGGTATAGTACACAGCAACTAGTGTCAACCAAGTATAACTCACTAAATCTAACATAATAATAATAATAATAATAACCGAGTATTACCCACTAAACCCAACATAATAATAATAATAATAAGTTGACAAAACTGCATCAAACAGCTGGTTAGATCGGGGATGCTTCTTTGGGGAGACAGAAGGATTCATGATTGCCATACAGGATCAGGTCATAAACACTAAAAACTACAAAAAACACATACTCAAAGATACAACACTCACAAATGACACATGCAGAAAATGTCACATCATGCCAGAAACTATACAACACATCACTTCCGGGTGCAAGGTTTTGGCACAGACAGATTATTTACACAAACATAATCAAGTAGCAAATATAATACACCAAGAGCTTGCAAACAAACACAACTTGGTAGACATTCACGAACCATACTACAAGTATATTCCTCAGACAGTATTGGAAAACAACTCGCACAAAATGTACTACGACAGAGCCATAATCACAGATAAAACAATTTACCACAACAGACCAGACATCACACTCATTGACGAACACAATAAAATCACATACATTATAGACATAGCCATTCCAAACACTCACAATGTACAAAACACATGCACTGAAAAAATTAGCAAGTACACAGAACTCGCCCAGGAAATAAGGCATCTGTGGAGGATGGATAGGGTGCTTATTGTACCTGTCGTTCTCTCCTGTACAGGTGTGATACCACACACACTACACAAAAGCCTGGGAACATTACAATTGAGTAGAAATACATACATCATACTACAGAAGGCCACTATATTGAATACATGCCACATTGTTAGGAAATTCCTGAATACAGACACACACACTGACACACTTACTTAATTTTAGTTTTGTTTTGGTTGTTATGCCTTGACTTTTGTCTGGCATAGTACACAGCCACCGGTGTGAACCGAGTATAACTCACAAAACCCAACAACAATAATAATAATAATGTTTTTAAATCGTTAAATTAATTTTTATTGTTAATTTTATTTCATTTTTATTTTTACCCTTTTATCCTATTTCTTATTCTAATTTTTAAGTTTTTTGTAAATTAGTATATGTGTACAAGTACTTTAAAAACAAGCAAACAGCCAGTTTGAAAACAGGTTTACAGGATAGCTCAAACTAATAGAAATAGTGATGTGAACTTAAGAAATAAACTTTGTGGCTAAAACAATTAACAGGACTTTAATTAATATCAAAATAAATTCAAATACCAGTTTAACACATATAGGCTTTTGTGTACTGAAGAAACTAGCTTGTTTCAATATACAATTTGTGTTATCATGTATATATTTTGTGACACTGTTACTTGCTCTTTGATAATAAGTTAAGAAGAATTGTTCACTTGTTCACTGCAGTACTTGACATGATTCTTTTGTCTCTCTTCTTTTCTCCATGTTTTTCATCTGGTATTATTTGCTTCATCTTCTACACTGAACAAAGCTACTCACAGCTCTTTGCCATTATCCTGAACACCTTAATGCTGTTAGTTCCTACAAATACTAGAGGATTAATTAATCAAAAGGATAAATGTATATGAAATAAATATGTCCATAGTGACCATAGTTTCCATGGATTGATATGAGTTACAGACCACATGGGGAAATAATGCTATAAGTAATGTTTTAAGACATTAGTCATAAAAATGTGATTTATTTATTTTAACGCATTTTCATAAAAACTTATTATTAGTTTGAATATGTATATGAACAAGGTTTTAATCATCCAGATAATATGAAAAATAAAATATGATAACTTAAGTTAAATTGTTTCTAATGATTAAAAAATATAAATGTATGATTTTCTAGCTAATGGATTCAAACTGCTAGAGAAAAGAGTTTAAAAAATCTACATGAACTAAAAGTTTTCTTTGTTTTTTTTTTTTTAATCCTTAAATGTTCAGAAAGAAACATGTAATTTTTTGTCACTTCATAATGTATGATACTTTGATTTAAATGTAATATTTATTTCTATTTTGATTGTTGTGATTTGAGTTCTTATTCTAATTCTTTGTATCTAATTTCTTCATGGAGTAAATTTCTAATTATCTGATCTGAACAAAACTGATAATCTGATGCAAAATAAGTAAAGAAGCAAAACAAACTGAAAATTTCATATTTATTAATAATAACTCAATTGAAAAATTGCTTTTTTTTCACTTGCCATATTACTTGAACAAAAAATGAATAAAATTAAATTTTGAGAATATGTGATTGAAAAACTAAAATATAGTCACAATATGTACCTGTACAATGCAAGCAAACGAATAAAGCTGTGCTCATTGCAATAAGTGATATACAGACAGACAAAGCAGTGGAGGGAGCATATAAAGAAATAGTAAATGTACTTTTGGAATAACTGAAGATTAGATAATTAAGATTATACTATATCATAAACTTTTATTTAAAAATTAAGATGGATGTTTATAATTATAGTCTTAAAACTCCTAACACAAAAGGTTATGAAATCAAATTGAATATGAAATTCACATCAGTGAATTTCATATTCACTTTGACTTCATAACCTTCATCTACTGTAATTATTTTTAATGTTATTACATGAGTTATTCAAAAGAGTGAAGGATGTAGCAGTTACATTCTGGCTTAACAGGTCAATATCTTATGATTGTTTTTGAGTTTAAATCTTGTTTTATTCTTATTCTATTTGTTTTAAGAATAGACTTTAAAATTTAATTTTTTATTTTTGCAGGAAAGTGGGTTATATTTTTTTCTTATTAAATTATTTACTTTTGCATTTATTTACTATTTCTATGCCTGCAACTGGATTTATTAACAGCTCTCCATTTTCAAAGTAACTTGAATTTGCTAAAGGGCACGCAGTAACAATGAAAAGCTTAGAAGTTAACCACATAAACATCAACTTACTTCCACTATATATGACAAACAAACCAAAATTACTTTATTAAATTACCTATAACCAATAATTACTTTATTTCTAATCATTAAATTAATCTTGTTACACCTGATAAATAATCTAGCAGTTCATATGGCATAACTTGGAATTTGTTGAAATGAAGTATTTGTGATTAATACAGGAAAACTGTGAAGATTAGATCTACCAGTATATCTCTTTCCATTTACAAGTTAGTGAAAATTTTAACACAGCTGTGATACCTCCAACTCCCAGCTAAATAAAATGTTTTATTTTCCTTTTAATTGTCGTTAGTATTTATTTATGCTAGAGATACTATTCTAATCTCAGCACCGGGGTGAAATCTACATTACACTATTCGGAACCTGTAACGGTGCACGACACGTATATATTGTATACCACTGTTGACAAATGTTTTCGAACAATCTCTTTGCTCTTCTTCAGGTCAACTGGAATTCCCTGGATGGAGTGTATTTTATTTGTTGGGATCAGGTGTCATTTCGACGAAGTGGGTCCTTTCTGACATGCACAGTCGTGCAGTGGAGGCTGGAAGTTGCAGGTTGGCATCCAACAGTGATTGCCAGGCCAGAGATAGAGTCAGCTTCTCCTTCCGGTTAATGCACGTGGTTATTTGGCCAGCATTATAGATAACCGTGGCCTCTAGCCACCTGAGATGCTCCTGGTGGGGTGTGTTGACTATAACGGTAGCTTTTTTAAATCATGCCTCGACCTCAGGATCAGACGCATATGTGGCAAGGCTATGGTGAGTCTCCCATGTCGGATATCCACCTGGTGTTCACGCAGAAGGGTATTCAAGGAACATTTAGTCTAACCAATGTATAATAAGACTTTGTTCTGACTGTTGTCCCTGATTGGGATAGAATAGACTCCAGAGAGTCTGCTGCGATAGGGAGGGTCTTTATCATTCCATAGGATACAGAAAATTGTGGGACATCTTCTGTATGCTAACTGTATCCCATGTTCTCTGGCTATCTTCTTATGTACTGTCTTAAGATATGGGTT